AAATTTTTAAAAATTCCTTGACAAATGTTCTGCTCATACTCCAGCTGAAATTCTCATAAAAAATAATGTTTATGTCATGTACTTTCCCCAAAATGTGACTATTAATTCAGCCATGTGACAGAGTATCCTTAGATCAATGAAGAGTAAATATAAAAACGTTTTCTTGAATAGCATGCAACAGCAGTGGACAGGGGCGTGGCTGTGGAAGGTTTTCAGGAGTTTAGCACGAAGTTTACCATCTATGCTGTTGCCAGCACTTGGAGCACAGTGATTAAAGACAAATTTGTGCATGCCTGGCACAACCTCTGGCCTGCAACTGTGTTCAGTGAGATGAACAAGATGGTAACTTTGAAGAATTCCATATGTCAAATGAGAAAAAATGATAAGCAATCTGGCCTGCTTACATATGCAAGAAAATACTCCTTCAGAGTCCTGAAAGCTGGAAAAATGGGTATTGAAGTTTTTAACATTGATAATGAGACTCCAGTTGTTCATTCATTGACCAGTGATGAAATAGCTGAAATGGTTCTGGGTCAAGGTGGTCATGAAAATGGTGACAACGAAGATGAATATTGTTAACACTGTAGAAAAATACCTACAGACAACATGATTTTCTAAGCCTGTTTGTGTTGCTGTAAAGGAATGCCTGAGGCTGGTTAATTTATAAAGAAAAGAAGTTTACTTAAGCCTGGCACAGTGGCTCACACCTGTAATCCCAGTACTTCAGGAAGCTGAGGCAGAAGGATTGCTTGAGCCCAGGAGTTTGAGAACGGCTTGGGCAACATAGCAAGAACCCCATCTCTACAAAAAGTTTTAATAATTAGCCAGACGTGGTGGCACATACCTATAGTCTCAGCTACTCAGGAGGCTGAAGCAGGAGGATCTCTTGAGCCCAGGAGTTCAAGGCTGTAGTGAGCTATGATTGTGCCACTGCACTCAACCTGGGCAACCTGTCTCTAAAAAAATGAAGAAAAGAGGTTTACTTGGTTTATGGTTCTGCAGGCTGTACAAGAATGCCTCCAGCATCTGCTTCTGGCAAGAGACTGAGGCTGCTTCCACTCATGGCAGAAGGTGAAGGGGAGCCTGCACCTGCAGATCTCACGGTGAGAGAGAATGCAAGAGAGAGAGAGGATGAGGTACCAGCCTCTTTCAACAACCAGTTCTAGGTGAACTGTTGTGGGAACTAATAGAGTTAGAACTCACTCATTACTGAGAGAATGGCACCAAGACATTCATGAAGGATCTGCCCTCATGATCCAAACACCCCATTAGGCCCCACTTCCAACACTGGGGATCAGATTTCAACATGAGGTTTGGAGAGTCAAATATCCAAACGATAGCAGTGGTGAAAATGTGTGATGGGCTTATTGAAGGACTAAAACAGTGTACATTTACAAAAGAACAAGAAATCATCACAGTTTATAATGTCAGAGAGAGACTTCTAAATCAAAAGCATTGTTAATAAGGCAGATGACTCTGGAGAAAACATTTTAAAAAGCCATCCAGCAGAAAGCCTTCTTATCCTTAGAAGACCCACTTCTTGGTCTCTCACCTGCTTCTGATAACTTAAAAAAATGGTGTATAGTAACCTTTTAATCAAAACACAGCATGATAGGTGGGGACTGAAAGCCTGCCATTGTTTGTTGTTGCTGTTGTTTAACAGCTGATAACAGGTATTCTGGTGGTGCCACTGTGCTGCTTGGTTACCCTGAATGTATTATTTTTTCATTCTATTACTAGTGTATCATATTTTTTGCTGTTATGTACTTATGTGGGAATAAGTATAGGAAAATGGTTCCTTATCAGTAGCAAATAAATTTCAGAGTCAGGAATGATGGTGATGCCAAACAACCACAGATTACCCACATGGGTAGTGGTTGAGGTAGTGACACCTTTGCTTCCTGATGTTACGATGCACGCAAATTTTATTTTATGCACAAAATTATTAAAAATTATTGCATAGGTCAGGCACGATGGCTTATGGCTGTAATCCCAGTACTTTGGGAAGCTGAGGCAGGCGGACCACTGGAGGTCAGGAGTTCTAGACCAGCCTGGCCAACATGGTGAAACCTCGTCTCTACCAAAAATGCAAAAATTAGCTGGGCTTGGTGGTGTGCACCTGTAATCCCAGCTACTCCGGAGGCTGAGGCACAAGAATCTCTTGAATCGGGGAGGCAGAGGTTGCAGTGAGCCAAGATTATGCCACTGCACTCCAGCCTGGGTGACAGAGCAAGACTCTGTGTCAAAAAAAAAAAATTGGCCGGGCGCGGTGGCTCAAGCCTGTAATCCCAGCACTTTGGGAGGCCGAGATGGGCGGATCACGAGGTCAGGAGATCGAGACCATCCTGGCTAACATGGTGAAACCCCGTCTCTACTAAAAAATACAAAAAACTAGCCGGGCGAGGTGGCGGGCGCCTGTAGTCCCAGCTACTCGGGAGGCTGAGGCAGGAGAATGGCGTAAACCCGGGAGGCGGAGCTTGCAGTGAGCTGAGATCTGGCCACTGCACTCCAGCCTGGGCGGCAGAGCGAGACTCCGTCTCAAAAAAAAAAAAAAGAAAAGAAAAAATTATTGGCCGGGTGTGGTGGCTCACATCTGTAATCTCAGCACTTTGGGAGGCCGAGATGGGTGGATCACAGGCGTTTGAGACCAGCATGGCCAACATGGTGAAATCTTGTCTCTGCTAAAGATACAAAAATTAGCTGGGTGTGGTGGCACGTGCCTATAATCCCAGCTACTCGGGAGGCTAAGGCCATAAGAATCGCTTCAATCTGGGTAGTGGAAATTGCAGTGAGCTAAGATCCCGCCACTGCACTCCAGCCTGGGTGGTAGAGCGAGACTCTGTCTCAAAAAAAAAAAAAAAATATTGTATAAAATTACCTTCTGGCTATGTGTTTAAGGTATATATGAAATATAAACTAACTTCATTAATTAATTTATTTGTATTGAGGCAGGGTCTGTCTCTGTCACCCAGGCTGGGGTGTAGTGATGCAATCCTAGTTCACTGCAGCCTTGAACTGCTGGGCACAAGTGATCTTCCCACCTCAGCCTCCTGAGTAGCTGGAACCACAGGTGCATGCCACTGCACCCGGCTAATTTTTAAATTTTTTTCTAGAGACATGGTCTCTCTATGTTGCACAGGCTGGTCTCAAACTCCTGGCCTCAAGGGACCCTCCTGCCTCAGCATCCTGAGTAGCTGGGATTACAGGCATGAGCCACTGCATCCAGCCTTGAATTTTGTTTTTAGAATTTGGGTCCTATCCTTAAGATGTCTCATTCTGTATATATGAATATTCCAAAATAAAAAAATATTTAAGATTAGAAATACTTCTGGTCCCAGGCATTTTGGATAAAGAATACTCAACTTTTATCTTTGTTTGCCTGGAGGCCTTGGGTCACATGATTTACGATAGGGCTGGCCATACCAGGTAGTCTAAAAATGTGATTTAGGATGGGGAAAAAATCAATTTTAGAAGGCCTTACAGCCCAGTAGACAAATGTGCAGAAGATACGACCAGACAGCTCACAAAAGGAAGATATAAATGCCTTTTAAATTTATTTAAAGATACTCAAACTTACTCATGGTAACAAAAATGAAGATTTTAATTAAAAATGTCATTTTTCACCTAATTAGTTAAAAGATTCAAAAGTTTGTTATCACATCATGTAATAACATGGGGAACAAGGTTCAGGGAAGTTTAGGTACTTTCTGCTGATGGGGAAGAACATTGATTCAGTGTCAGTGAAGGGCAATATGACAATATCTATTAAAATTAGAAATACATATAATCCAGAGTCCTCAATTACACTTCTAGTAATTTATTCACACACCTTTAAAACCACATGTTTACACGTTATTTGTAGCAATATTGTATGTAAAAGATTGGAAACAACATAATTGTCCATCTGTAGTAGGCTGATTAAATTCTGGAATCTCTATACAATGGAATATATTGCAATCATAAAAAAATACTAAGTAAGCCTTTGCTTAGTGATTAGGAATGGCCTTCAAGTTATAGCCACACAGGATGGTGTGTAAAATGTGTTGCCATTTATGGAAGTAGTGGTGTTGAAGGGAAGAACATATATACTTAGTAACCTATAAATGCGTACAAGTATTTTGGAAAGATATGCAAAAAAAAAAAAAAAACTGTAAGATTTGTTGTTATCTTTGGGAAATATTATGGACTAAATGTGTTCCTCCAAAATTCATACGCTAAAATCCTAATCCCCCGACAATGTATTAGATGGTGGGGCCTTTGGGAGGTAATTAGGTCTAGATGAGATCATGAGAGTAGATATCCCATGATGGGATTAGTGCTCTTATAACACGAGGAAGAGGCCAGGTGCGGTGACTCACCCTTATAATTCCAGCACTTTGGCAGGCTGAGGCAGGCAGATCACTTGAGGTCAGGAGTTCAAGACCAGCCTGGCCAACATGGTAAAACCCTGTCTCTACTGAAAATACAAAAATTAACAGGGTGTGGTAGTGCATGCCTGTAACCCCAGCTACTTGGGAGGCTGAGGCAGGAAAATTGATTGAACCCAGGGGATGGAAGTTGCAGTGAGCCGAGAGTGCACCACTGCCCTCCAGCTTGGGTGACAGAGTGAGACTCCGTTTCAAGAAAAAAAAAAAAAAAGAGGAAGAAGAAGAGATACTAGAGCTTCCTCTCTCAACTCTGTATGGATACCATGGTAAGAGGTAGTCTGGAGACCAGGAAGTAGGCCCTAACCAGACATTGAATCTGATGACAACTTGATCTTGGGGTTCCAAATCTCTAGAACTGTGAGAAATGTCTGTTGTTTAAGTCACCCACCTGTGGCATTTTGTTATAACAACCATAAGTGACCAAGGGAAAATTTAGATGGCTGGTTGACAGGTAGAAGGGAGATGTTTTGCTTTTTAAATTTTGGGCCATGAATGTAATCACTACTAAAAAATAAGTAAGGTCTGTGTGTCTTTTTTTATTGAAGCAATCATTAATATGTTTCCTTTTGTTTTAAGGACAAAATATGAAACACCAAGAAAGAGAAGGAAAAAAAGAAGGAAACAGCCACATATGTCACCTTTCCGAGGTATCATGTGTTTCATGTTTAAGAAATTTATTTTGCAGTACTTTGGTAGTTGGTTTACTTTTTTTTTTTTCTCTTTTTGAGATAGAGTCTCACTCTGTCGCCCAGGCTAAAGTGCGGTGACACGATCACAGCTCATTGCAGCCTCAACCTCCCTGGGCTCAGGCAGTTCTCCCACCTCTGCCTCCCGAGTATCTGGGACTACAGGCATGCACCATCACATCTGGCTACTTTTTGTAGACGTGAGGGTTTGCCATGTTGCTCAGGCTGGTCTCAAACTGGGCTCAAGAAATCCTCCTGCCTCAGCCTCCCAAAGTGCTGGGATTAGAGGCATGAGCCATCACACTCAGCCTGGTTTACTACAAATCACAGTGTACGACATGTTAAGGAAAAAATTATGTGTGTAATTTTTCTTGTTGGCTATATAAACTGCATTCATCTCTTAAATTTATCAAGAATAGTAGCAATCCCACATACTTCAAAGCATCAAAAATTGCCAATTAGATTTTATCTCTGTACTCTGAGATGACATTCAGTGAACAGGTATCTCCTTCAAAATTTATTTTTGAAAATATGTATTAACGTAGCATAGTTTCATATAATGTTCTTGGACTCACATGATATAATTAAAATACAGAATTACAATGTCATTAGAAAAAAAATTTTTTTGCAAATTAAAAATGGGCCAGGCATGGTGGCCTATAATCCCACCACTTTGAGAGGCCAAGCCAGGAGCATTGCTTGAGGCAAGGAGTTCAGATCAGCCTGGACAGTATAGTGAGACCTTGTCTCTATAAAAAAAATTTTAATTAGCCAGTTGTGATGGTATGCATCTGTGGTTCTAGCTGCTCAGGAGACTGGAGTGAGAGGATAGTTTGGGCCCAGGAGTTCGAAGTTACAGTGAACTGTGATCACATCACTGCATTCGGAGTGAGACCCTTTCTCAACAACAACAAAAAAATTTTTTTGAGATGGAGTCTTGCTCTGTTGTGTAGGTTGGAGTGCAGTGGCATGATCTCTGCTCACTGCAACCTCCGCATCCCAGGTTCAAGTGGTTCTCCTGTCTCAGGCTCCCGAGTACCTGGGACTACAGGTGCATGCCACCACGCCTGGCTAATTTTTGCATTTTTAGTAGAGATGGGGTCTCAAACTGCTGACCTCAGGTGATCCACCTGCCTTGGCCTCCCAAAATGGTGGGATTACAGGCGTGAGCCACTGCAACCTGCGGGGGAAAAAAAAAAATTTTTTTAAGTAAAAATGTCCTGTGACTCTCAAATATAATAAAAATGACAAAGTTGGTTTTCATCTTGTACGGAATAGTTAGGATACTATCTGCTCTAACAAATCAGGTGCTTTACAAATACATTAGAAATGCTCTGTTAGAGCTGGCTGGTGCTGCTTTTCCAATCCTCTGTAAAATCCCAGCACTTTTGGATGGCCGAGACGTTGCGGATCACGTGTGATGGTCAGTAGATCGAGACCACCTGCGTTTTAACGTCCGTTGAAACCCGCTCTCTACTATAAATAATACAAAACAATAAGAAAAAATACTAGTTGCCGGTCGATTGGTGTGGCGGTGCGCCTATCTCCAGCTACTCGTGGGAGCTAGCACGTTGAGAATTGCATAAACCCGGAGCGTAGATCTTGCAGTTAGGCTGATATCCTGCCACTGCTACCTCAGGCGTTCTGTGGCGACAGGAGCGAGACTCCGTCTCTATATATAAAAAAAAAAAGAAATGCTTTTTATATACTCAGCTAGCTGTGCTTCTCGTTCTATATACCCTCTGTCAGACTGGTCCTCCTGTCCTCTACTGGTGAGGACACCTGTAATCCCAGCTACTTGGTTATGCTTAGCGAGAGAGACAGGAGATTGCTTTGAACCGAGAGTTGGATAAAGTTTTCTATGTACTCAAGATTCCGCCATTGCATTCCAGCCTTCACCAACAGCGAAACTCCGTCTCAATAAAAAAAAAAAAAAAATCACTTTAACTTGCTTAATTTATTTATCTGATACTGATAACACTTTATCCTTATATTTGTGACACTATGTTTCTTACTTTCTATATTTATTCACTCTTTTTTTCTGTTTCCTTATTCTCCAAGAATGCAGAATCTAATGAAGAATAATTCTTTATATGTGGTACAATTCCATGGGTGCCCAGAGCAATTATTAATCTGTTTCAGATTGGTAGACATGTAGTCCTCCCCAAAGGAGATGATGGTATTTGAATCAAATCTTAAAGGATGAGTATATTTTACTAGGCGGAAAAAAGGGTAAAGAGCATTCCAGGCTGAGGGAAAAGCATTAGCAAAGGCAAATAGGAACAAAAGTTCATTTTGGATTAGGATATTTGCAGTTGAAACTGGAGCATAAAGTGAGAAGTGGCATGTAGTAAGAAATGAAACCAAAGAAGTAGTTTGGGACTAGTTTGGATTTTACTCTGTAGGCACTGGGAACATTTGAACATCTTAAAACAGAAATGACATTTTCTAACCTTTGTTCTAGGAGTATAATTCAATATCAGAATGATTTGGAAGGAAAAAACCTACAGGAAGCTATTGTAGCCTAGTGAGGAAGATAAATATTAATACAGCCAATTTATAGATCAGACTAAAGACAGTGATTAGGGGGTTGAAAAGAATAGATAGAAGAGATATTGCAAAAGTAAAATCTGTATAACCTAATAACTGGATATAGAGTCTGGAAGACATAGTTTTATAGAAATTCATTGTTTTAATGGGATAAATCTTATTAAGGGATCATCCTAAATGGTTTTTTTAATACTGTGCACAGAGTTCCCAAATTTAAAGCAGTACAAATTTTGGAAATTAAAAGTTTTACAAAATGGATGATTCCTTTAAAATAAGTATAATAAAGATTGGTGGACTTCAGGACGACTTGGCAGGCTACAAGTTTTCATACTCAGTAGAGGACTCGGTCATAGGTACCCAATAGTGTTATAGTATCATCCCACCTTGGTGTGATTGGTGTCCTTATTTGCCACATAATCAACTAGTCAAATTGTAGAAGAGGAATAATCTGGTTAATAATTAAACCTTATCAAATTCTAAAATTAATGTTTGACAGATAAAGGGTTTAAATATACTGAACTTTGTAAATACCATCAGATATTTTTCCTAGGAAAAAGGTAACATTGTTGTTGCTGATGGTATTTATAAAGTTAAGTATAGTTAACCCATCAACAACACGGTTTGAACTTCAAGAGTCCACTTACATGTAAATTTATTTCAACCAAACATGGATTGACAATACAGTATTTGTGGGATGCGAAACCTGCGTATACTGAGGGCGAACTTTTTGTTGGCTGGTTCCACAAGGCTAACCGTGAGACTTGAGTATGCATGAATTTTGGTATATGCAGAGGTCCTAGAACCAAACTTCCATGTAGACTGAGGGACAACCGTATCTGAAAATAAACATTACATTGTGTTTTTACAGTTCTTCTATACTCTATAAAAACGTTTCATTTGTGTTTAGTACACACTTGAACTAAAATTTCTAAGTAATTCCTATATTGCAGGTGTTTGTTTTGTAGTAAATTGGAGGTAAATAGAGTCATTTGCTTGGAAAATTTTCTTGGAGGCCACAAATCCAGTGTCTAATACAAGCAATGTCTAATGCAAGTGTTCTGTCATAAACTGTTTCATTGGATGGGGCACTCTACTATATAATTGATAGGCTGGGATTTGCCACCCAACTGACCAACTATTACAAGGATTTGGATAATTATAAATTACTTTTCTTCCTTTAAAATCTGCAGCACAGGCTGGGCACAGTGGCACATGCCTGTAATCCCAGCACTTTGGGAGGCCGAGGCAGGTGGATCACTTGAGGTCGGGAGTTCAAGACCAGCCTGGCCAACACAGTGAAACCCTGTCTCTACTAAAAATACAAAAATTATCAAGTATGGTGGTGCGTGCTTGTAATCCCAGCTACTCGGGAGGCTGAGGCACAAGAATCGCTTGAACCTGGGAGGTGGAGGTTGCAGTGAGTCTAGATGGTACCACTGCACTCCAGCCTGGGCAACAGAGTGACTCCATCTCAGAAAAAAAAAAAAATTCCAGCACATAACAATTGTACATAATGTCAGGGCTGAATCAGTGGATGTCATCTCAAAATAATAATAATAATAATAATAATAATAAAGCTTTTAATTTCTCAGTGCTTAGTATTGACCTGTTTCTTCTCTGGAGTTCTTCATGTTAGTAGATTTACAACCTAAGCCTGATCTGGGGATCATTCTTGATTATTCTCTCTCACCATTCCCCTGCCATTACTACCACACATGCATTTTTAGTGACAGTTATTATAGGTTTGGTCTCTTGAAAGCTCTTTTTTCCTTCTTAGCTTACAAAGACTAAAAAGTGAATCTTCAAATTCCCAGCCTCCCTTACAGCTAGTAATAGCCATTTAGCACAATTTCTGGCCCCAGTGATATAAGATAAAATTCTTGTAATCTTAGAAATATGATTCTTTTTTTTGAGATGGAGTCTTGTTCTGTCACCCAGTCTGGAATGCAGTGGCACGATCTTGGCTCACTGCGACCTCTGTCGCCCGAGTTCAAGCGATTCTCCTGCCTCAGCCTCCCGAGTAGCTGGGATTACAGGCGCCTGCCACCATGCCCAGCTAGTTTTTGTATTTTTAGTAGAGATAGGATTTCACCATCTTGGCCAGGCTGGTCTTGAACTCCTGACCTCCTGATCTACCTGCCTCTGCCTCCCAGAGTGCAGGGATTACAGGCTTGAGCCACTACATAGAAACATAATTCTAGGATGAGAGTTAAATAGATTCAAATTAGAATAAACTAGATTGGGGGCATGTGCCCTAGTTTCATTTAACTCAGTGAGAGAACCAGTAGGATGAAAAAGTTAGTTGAAATGGTAATATTAAAAACTTGGTTATTGTTTTTTATAATGAATGGGGGAAAAAGGAATGCTGAGATAAGATTGCTAAATTAGATACAAAACTGGTTAGGTTCTATAGGGCAATGAAAGTATAATCTTTAAAGTTGCTCTTTCTACTGGTCAGAAAAGAGAATTGTCACACTTCATCCATTTTATTTAAGTTAGCCTCTAGCTATAAAATTGTTTGTTTATGTAGATATGTTAGCTCCAAGCCATAGTGAATACAGTGTCCAACAAAATTACTTGCCCTGGAGAATTAGATGACTGTTAGGCAGCCTTTTTAAACAGTGCTCTAGCATGACATTAAAAGGTCATGCAGCCATCGCTTAACCTTATTTCCAAGTTTTGAATATTCTCCTTAATAGTTGCAATAATGAACACTCTGAATTTTACTCAGAGTTAAAGCTTTTTCCCTTCCTAGCATTAGTCTGGGTACCTGCAATGGCAGAGAGCTCTTCTTTCCTGTTGCACTAGACCAGAATAAAGCAGTACAAAAACAAAACCTCCCTTCACTCTCTGCCAGGCTGTGGTTGGGGTCTAGCAATCTAGGCAGCAGAGTTAACAGAATTAACAGTAGCATGGCATCAGATGCTAGTGGAAAATGTTAACTATGCTGAAGAACAAATATGCTTATATACTAAATACCAGACTGTAATGTTGTGGTGATTTCTGGGAAAAAGGAAAACTATAATGAAGTAAGAATAAATAAAATGAAAAATATTTTAAGGGAAAAAAGGATACAGATACAATAGGAATTAACTTTTAATATGTGCAAAGTATTGTGTCCCATTATAAACTGTTGTACCTCCCTAAAACATGTGGCCAGCTGTATAATCTTTAAGATAACTCTAAATATTACTTGGTAATTGGAATTGGATTTTATTTTTGTGGATTAAAAACTCACTAATGAGCCTCATCCTCACAAAAATTCCTCAAAACTAAGTACTTGGTTGATTTGAAATAATTTAAGGTTAAAAGTTGCTAAACATTCCAGCCTTCAAAATAAGTATTCAAAATTTGCAAATCCAAGAAATTTACTGTCAGTTATTTTCATTTCCATTCATTTCTATTCAGTCTTTATAAATGCTTGTTTGTGTTTTTTCCACATAGAATAACCTCTTATTTGAAATTTAGATTTTTATAGTTGAAGTTAATTTTTCTCCCATTTTTTAGGTCACAGGAAATGGAGTCTGAAATAAAGCCACTGTATCTAAAACATTTATTTAATGGTAAAACTTGATGATTAATAGTATTATTAGCATTTTAAAGACTATATGTTTAGAGTTTGAAGTAAAGCTCCAGTGTCAATTTAACTTACTTTTCAAGGCTTAACATGTTCTTATCTAAAAAAACAATGATGTGCAAAATTTCTTTTTTCTACTGTAAGTATTGGGAAAAGTAAAAGTATTATGTATAATAAAATAAGTAGTGAATCTATTCTAATCTGTTCTACTTATTGTCTGCAGAGGGGCTGAAACCGGGCTGACCCTTTTGATTTCCAAACTCAGCCTTTTGGTATAAGGCGGCCAAAGAAGGATGCAGAGCCCAGCACTGTGAAGCCTACAAAAACATTGACACGCTGGCTTGGGGATTTGAATTTGAACGTCTTTCATACCAAGTTCAGACTCATGAAACCAATCTTCAGATGCTCTGTAAACCACATAATAAAGAGTTTGGAAATTATATTTTGTCTTTGAAGGCCCACATGCAAAACTTGAGAGCCTTAAGTCTAAGCCAGTTGTGGCAATTCTAGGGTACTTATTTTACATTTAGATATGTTATAGGGGAGGAGAATAAGTCTGCTTTCTTGAATATTATGCCTAATTATTACGTATAAAATTCTTTTACCAAAGTTATATGCAAGGCAGAAAACTTACAGATGCCATGAAAAAGGTAAAGTCTTTTCCATGTACATTTTTTTTTTTTTTTTTGAGACAGTTTCGCTCCTTGTTGCCCAGGCTGGAGTGCAAAGGGGCAATGTCGCCTCACTGCAACCTCCACCTCCCAGGTTCAAGCACTTCTCCTGTCTCAGCCTCCTGAGTATCTGGGACTACAGGCCCACGCCAGCATGCCCAGCTAATTTTGTATTTTTAGTAGAGACAGAGTTTCACTATTTTGACCAGGCTGGTCTCAAACTCCTGACCTCAGGTTATCTGCTCCCTGCAGCCTCCCAAAGTGCTGGGAGTGCAGGCGTGAACTACCTTGCTTGGCCTCTATGTACTTCTTTTTTGTTGTTGTTGTTTTTGAGACGGAGTTTTGCTCTTGTCACCCAGGCTGGAGTGCAGTGGTGCCATCTCGGCTCACTGCAACCTCTACCTCCTGGGTTCAAGCGATTCTCATGCCTCAGCCTCCCAAGTAGCTGGGATTACAGGCGTGCACCACCACACCCAGCTAATTTTTGTATTTTTAGTAAAGACAGGGTTTCACCATGTTGGCCAGGCTGGTCTCAAACTCCTAACTTCAGGTGATCCACCTGCCTCAGCCTCCCAAAGTGCTGGGATTACAGGTGTGAGCCACCACACCCAGCCCATGTACTTCTGACTTAGTTTTTCTTCCCACATTTTATGTTTACATTTGCAATTACATCTTCCTCTTTCAACAAATATTACAGATTTTCATAATCACAAATATTTGTTTTTAAAGCATGATGTAATCTTCTTTTACATTAGATATACTGATTATGAGTTTCCAATAAAAAGTTTCCAGGTCTAAAAATGATCACATCATGCAATATACCGAGGAATCAAGCCTGCACATCTACCCCCTAAGTCTAAAATGAAAGTGGAAAAAAAATTATGTAAGAAAAAAATTATCACAGTGTTTTATAAAATGAGAAAGCAAATCAAGTGCAGTGACTGACGCTTGTAATCCCCGCACTTCAGGAGGCCAAGGCAGGCAGATTGCTTGAGCGGAGTTTGAGACCAGCCTGGCCAAAATGGTGAAACCCTGTCTACACACACACACACACACACACATACACACATACACACACAAATTTAGCCAGGCATGGTGGCACATGCCTGTAGTCCCAGCTACTCAGGAGGCTGAGGTGGAAGGATTGCTTGAGCTCGGGAGGCAGAGGCTGCAGTGAGCCAAGATCACACCACCTCACTCCAGCCTGGGCGCCAGAGCAAGACTCTGTCTACAAAAAACAACAAACAAAAACAGAAAGCGATTTGCCAGGTCAGCCTTTTATGTTGCCTTTGACAGTTTTACAGATCCTTGGGATTTTTGCTTACTTAGGTTTATGAGTGAATGTGTATCCCATCTAACCGTGTACTTGATATTTGCTTGTAAAACAAACTACTGTTAGAAGTAAATGATGAAAGAGAGGGCTAGTTTGATTTTTTAAATATTCATTCATTCATTCGTTTATTCAGGGTCTTGCTCTGTCACCCAGGCTGGAGTGTGAGAGCATGATCATGGCTCACTGCAACCTAGACCCCTTGGACTCAAATGATCCTCCCACTTCAGCCTCCCAAGTAGCTGGAACCACAGGTACACACCACCATGGTTGGCCAATTTTTAAATTTTTTTGTAGAGACATGGTCTTTCTGTGTTGCCCAGGCTGGTCTCGTACTCCTGGGCTCAAGGAATGGCCCCACCTTGGCCTCCCAAAAGGAAGATTACAAGTGTGAGCCACCGTGCCTAGTTGATTTTTTTAATTGGAAATTTTGGTACTGTTATGTTGTTGAGGCAGACAACTTTAAAATAATCTGGAGTATCATTCTGTGACGATGTTAGAGTTTATTATGTTGTTCATAGGCCAGGCTCAGTAATCTCAGCACGTTGGGACACCAAAGCAGAAGGATCGCTTGAGCCCTCAGGAGTTTGAGACAAGCTTGGGCAACAGAGAGACCCCCATCTCTACAAAAAAAAAAAAAAAAAAAAAGAGAGAAAAATTAGCCAGACATGATGATGCCAACCTGTAGTCCTGGCTACTTGGGAAGCTGAGGTAGGAGGATCGCTTGAGCCCGGGAGTTTGAGGCTGCAGTGAACTATGATTACACCACTGTACTCCAGCCAGGGTGATAGAGCAAGGCCCTGCCTCTAAACATATTTTTAAAAATAAAACAATATGTTGTTCATATTATCCTAATGTAGTATTTTACTGAATGGAATTCTTAAAGGATTCTTTTCCCCGAGGATATTAACTCAGGATAAATTATAATAGGATTGTACATAAATTAAGCATCTTTATCTTTGATTACAGAGATATTTAGCATATGACTATAGATAATTTTCCCCTCATATTTTCTTGGGCTTCTAGTATTTATGTATCAAGAAAGTTATTTCCTTGTGTTTGAAATGGTGACATTTCTGAAATGTACCAGCAGAGGATACAGGGTTTTTATGTTTGTTTTTCATTTTCTTATTTACTGAAGAAATAAAGGCATTTTAGGTTATAAATGTACTGTTTTCTTTTTTCGAACTCCTGGCCTCAAGTGATCCACCCGCCTCTGCCTCCCAAAGTGCTGGGATTACAGGCGTGAGCTACTGTGCCCAGCCAGGACACAATATTCTTGTATAAAGAAACGAAACTCTGGACAGTTCCATTGTTGTGGGCTTTCTTATTTTCCTGCTTTGGCAATTGCTAACCAGAAAAGTAGAAACCAACACAGAAAGGGGAGAAAGAGTATTTGGAGTGTCAGTATGAGTGTAAAATGTTATTGGGATTGTGGAAACACATAGATGGAGAGTTACGTATACTCCCAACCCCTCTGTATTCCAGGATGTTCACATATATGTCAAGAACTAGGAAATTGGCTGCTGTGTTCTAAATGTACCCCCCAAAATTCATATGTTGAAACATAATTGCCAATATGCTAGAATTAAGAGGTGGGGTCTTTAGGAAGTAATTAAGTCATGAGGGCAGAGCTCTTATGAATGGGATTTAATGACTTTATATAAGGTGCAAGGAAGCTGCTTGTTCCTTTTCACTCTTCCTACCATGTGAGTATGCACCAAGAAAGCACCATTTTGGAAGCAGGGAGTGACACTGAACATGCTGGTGCTGATTTTGTGCTTTCCAACCTCCAAAACTGTGAGAAATAAATTTCTGTTGTTTATAAATTACCCACTCTAAGTTATTTTGTTATGGCAACAGGAATGGACTGAAATACTGGCATATTCCATAATTTGTAGATTTTATATTTTTATTGCATACAAATTAATTGTGCTATAAATATAAATACATTATAGAAGTGACCATTTTAAAAGGACATCCCATAAATTAGATTTTTAAATGCTTTGTGTGGAATTTTACAAAAAGTATAGTGAAGCACTCTTTTACTATACCTCTCAAATAGTCACTGATAAGAGTTTATTGATATCATCATCTCTATTTTATTTTATTTATTTATTTTGAGACAGAGTCTTGCTTTGTTGCTCAGGCTGGAGTGCAGTGGTGTGATCTCAGCTCACTGCAACATTGCCTCCTGGGTTCAAGCGATTCTTCTGCCTCAGCCACCTGGTTAGCTGAGACTACAGGCATGCAACGCTAATTTTTTTTGTATTTTTAGTAGAGATGGGGTTTTGCCATGTTGGCCAGGCTGGTCTTGAACTCCTGGCCTCAAACCCGCCTCCTGGTTTGAAGCGATTCTCGTCCCTCAGCCTCCCAAGTAGCTGGGAGGCCACCACACCCAGCTAATTTTTGTATTTTTAGTAGAGACAGGGTTTCGCCATGTTGGCGAGGCTGGTCTCGAACTCCTGGCCTCAAGTGATCTGCCTGCCTTGGCCCCACAAAGAGCTGGGATTACAGGTGTGAACCACTTCGCCCAGCCAGTGCTTCTCAAAATTCAATGTAAATATTAATCATCTAGTGCAGGGGTCCCTAAGCCCTGGGGCACAGATTGATACTGGTCTGTGACCTGTTAGGGACCTGGCTACACAGCAGGGGATGACCAGTGAGCAAGTGAGTAAAGCTTCATCTACATTTACAGCCACTCCCCATCACTCTCATTACCACCTGAGCTCCGCCTCTTGTCACAGCAGCAGCAGCATTAGATTCTCATAGAAGTGTGAATCCTATTGTGAACTGTGCATGTGAGGGATCTAGGTTACATGCTCCTTACGAGAATCTAATGCCTGATGATCTGTCATTGACCCCATCACCCCCAGATGGGACTGTCTAGTTGCAGGAAAACAATCTCAGGGCTCCCACTGATTCTACATTATGGTGAGTTGTATAATTAATTATTTCATTGTATATTACAATGTAATAATAATAGAAGTAAAGTGCACTGGCCAGGCATGGTGGCTCACACCTGTAATCCTAGCACTTTGGGAGGCCGAGGCGGGTGGATCACTCGAGGTCAGGAGTTCAAAAACAGCCTGACCAACATGGTGAAACCCTGTCTCTACTAAAAGTACAAAATTAGCTGGGCATGGTGGTGCATGCCTGTAATCCCAGCTATTTGGGAGGCTGAGGCAGGAGAATTGCTTGAACCCGGGAGGTGGAGGTTGCAGTGAGCTGGAATTGTGTCATTGCACTCCAGCCTGTGCAACAAGAGTGAAACTCTGTCTCAAAAAAAAAAAGTATTATTTCATGAAATTTTTGCCTCAGTTATATATCCATGTAATATGCATATGCATATGTATGTATATGCTAGGTCACAATGTAAAATGCATTTCTATGGATCACAAAAAAAGTGTGGAAAGTTCTAACTATTTGGTGTTATTAT